GAGTAACCTCACAGTATCTAGTTTTTCAAAAAATTTAAGAAGATATAAAAACGACATATCTAGAAAACTATTAAGGTTTAAGCAGTCATATTCGGAGGCAAGATTTGCATTTCATGAGAGTATCCTGACAGCACCCTTCTACGGGGTTGGCAAATTCAAATTTTGTACATGTTTTACAATTTAAGTGAAGCCCGCATTTAAAAATACAATAAATAGTCAATTTTTAGACAATTTTCAAAAACAATTTAAGCTACGAAAAAAGAACATGGTTGAACTGAGTTGAACGAATGGTGGTCTCTTCTTTTCAAATTTGGATGTTTGTATGAAACTGAGCTAGGTTTCCGTGAAATATCGTTCGACTCACCCCTTTTTCAAATAGGCGTGAAGGTAGCATGAAGTGGGGGTATCCACCGGTTTTTGCCCAGTTCAAAGAAAGTTAATATATATATATATATATCGAATGTAGTATCATATTGGAGCCCTTTAAGTCATAGTTTGGATTCAAAAAAATTTCAGCACTGCATTTTGCATATAGAAGCAAAAAATAGCCTTAAAAAGGACAAAACTTGAGAAAAGAAACGTCAAAAGAAAAAGTAAAATTAATAAAAATCCTGATATGTGCCGAAGTCGAATACCCAAAATAGAATTTGAAATCATCACGTTTTAGCATATGCCCCATGAGATCTTGATAGGCCTGAAACACTAGCCACCAATTAAACAGATACCGAGATGTATTGCTAATGCAGCAAAAGTACACCAGATAAAATGCTAATGCAGCGAGAGTAACCAAGATGTCATGCCATTGCTATAAGAATACCACTAAAAAAATGAGCAAATTTATTTGCGACTTGGGCTAGGAAAAAAGTGAATTTAGTAATGTGACACTGCTCTTCTTTTGTGTAAAAGGTTTTGTGGAGAAAAAGCGGTCTCCGAAAATTTGATGCAGTAGATTTTGTAAAATCGTTAACTTCGTTGACACGGAAAACAATAAGGTGCTTTTCTCGAAAAAGATTTTTTTAAATTTTCAGCTCTATATTTTGCTCCTTTGAACCTTAAAAAAATATAGCTTTTTTGAAATACTACAAATGATAGCGTTATAACTGCGTTTTTTTACCGATTGGAGAATTAATTTAAATACTTTGCGACTGCGCAAAAAGATGAAAGAAACTACTTGTAAATCAAAGCGTTAGCGAAATCAAGATTAACCAGATAATGTGCTTGGGCAAATAGATAGAGATAGTACTGTACTGACCACAATTTATAAAATTCAATTTATAAGTTTTTTTTGCAGTTTTCGATGTTTTTAATGGGGAAGGCAGGTAGGGCGATCCAAAGCGAAACTTTGAGCTCCACGAGAGGTGCTAAATTGATATTAATATTTTCGTCAAACATTTTTAGTATAGTTACTCGCGACACTAGAGATCAAGTTCATTATTTCTTTGCATATATGGCCTGAAAGCCAGAAATTAGGGAATCTTAAAATAAAAATAGGAAGTTTATTTTGAAAATTTTCAGTGCAGTCCGGATTACGATCTCCAACGATCGCTCATCCAAAGATGCAATATGATGCCACTGAGCCGATTAGGTATAAATCAAAAACGCTTTTAAGTAAAGTAAAAAAAAACACACAAAAAAACAAGGATAGCCGGTTACTGTGCAAAGAGCATAGTCTTAAAAATGCAAAAAATATATATCAAAATATTGTCGTTTCTTTTCTGTGTAGTGTGATAAAATATCTGAACGAAAAAATAGAACTTCAGCATATTGGACAGTCATAGTACAATAGACAAAAGAGGAAACAAAAAAATGACTAGAAAACGAAAAAAAAATGTAAAAAAACTTAGAAACATCAAAACATTTTCAATGTTAATAGGTCCCCGACAACCTCAAAACATCAATACATAAAACTTTTTTTGCCCATCAAATGAAACAATATGAGGCCACTAAGTCGATGTAATATAGGCTGAAAGCTATTAAACCGAAAAGCAGGAAAACCATGGAAAAAAATCAAAAAAATTGAGGACTAATAAAAAGTTTTGAAGTCCCTCTCCTCAAAGCACACGCACAAACCTATCAAGCGAAAAAAAAAAGAAACCGGAAAAAAAATACGAAAAAAACTTGTTGTTAAGAACTATAATTTAAATAAGAGTTTTAGCATTGCATGCGATCCAGAGAGGATCATAAAAATTATGTTTCAATTAAAACTACTCAAAAAAAGGTCACTAAGTCAATCAAAAATAAACCGAAATCGTTTGGGCAGATTAAGTTTTAAGCAAAACAAAACTAAACAAAAAAAAATATACGAAGTCAACGTTAAGAAAATTACAAGCAGCAGAAAAAAATCAAAACGCCTAAAGCAACAACAATATAACTACAAAAAAGTTAATTATACGATGTTAATTATACGAAATTCTAATAACCGGTTGCAAGACACTTGCTATCGCAAAAGGAAACATAATCAACTGACAGTTGGAAAAGAGTAATGAAAGAAAGGTAACAGAAATAAAAAAAATTTGAAAGTACCCAACTTTCAAATTTCAGATAAAAAATAGATGGTATGAGAATTTCTAAAACAGTTTATGATTGACCTTTTTAAATAAAACTAAGGTGTAACGCACCTTCGGTTTTTTAACAACTCATCAAAAAAAACCCTATTTATTGCAAATTAAATCTGCATCCTTTGAGTGTACTCCGACAGCACTCAATTACAGGATTGGTAATTATAAATTTTGTAAAATGTTTTTAAAGTTGTTCTGTTTAAGTTTTAAAAAGCCATAAAATTTCGTGAAGTAAGTTCAATCTAAGTTCAAATTAATTAAGAAACGACACAACTCGAAATTAAAAGCAGTTGAGCAGTCGCATTTGAACGCAAGATTTGCAACTACTGAGAGTAATTTTACAGAACCAAACTACGCTGTAGGAAACTTTAGATTTTGAGAAGCTTTGAGCTTAAGTTTTCTAGAATTTGTTTTTTAAAAAAGCCATATACAACGTCAGATCTCGATAACTACCGAGACTTGAGCAGTCATAATTGGAGGCAAGATTTGCAGCCCCTGAGAATACTGTGACAGCCTCATTTACAGGGTTATGAATTCCTTATTTTTGAGAAAAACTAAAATTAATTCAAGTTTTCTGAAAATTTTTGAAAAAATCACAAAAAAAACGTCATATCTGGAGAACTACCAAGATTTGAGCAAACATATTTGGAGGGCAGAATCGCAACCTCTGAGAGTACTCTGACAGCCCCCAACTACTGGGTTTGGAATATCAAGTATCAAAAAAATTAAATTTAAGTTATCTGAAAACTTCGCAACTCCAGAGCGTCACTATACAGATGAGAACTTCAAAGCATTTAAGCAGTCGCCTTTGGACGCAAGAGTATATCTGAGAGTCTTTTTACAGTACCCACCCATCTACAGTAATGGGAATTTCAAATTTTGAGAAGCTTCAAGTTAATTTTTCTGAATATTGTTTAAAAGCCATAAAAAAGTTTTCTGAATTTTTTTTGAGAAACTTTTTAAAAAAAGCAAAATCTCGAAAACTACAAGGATTTAAGCAGCCATAAATGTATGCGAACTTGGCACTCTTTGAGAGCACTCTGACACCACCCAACTACAGAGTAGGGAATTTCAAGTTTTGAAAATTATTTTGTAATTTGAGTTTTTTGAAAAGTTTGGGTGCCACTTATCTTAAACACGGTGAAATCAACACTGAATTCTAACTTTTACATCAATAAAACACACACACTTTTTTCTTTCACACAAAGTTAGTGTCATTTTTCTGCGTAGTGTGACAGGATCTGAACAAACCACTACAACAGTGGCGTTCAACGGTGCCGAAGTACAGCAGTGCCGAAAAAGGCGGGGAAATTTCAGAATAATTTAAACGCATTTTCTAATCACTAAGGCTAACTAACAAAGAAACTCACTCCAATTTTGGTGCCAAATGTCTGCAATTGCAAGTTAAACAATTATTTTGGCGCCAAAACGTCTAAGTAGCACATTTTCTCGCTCAAATTCTCATAGTGTCACTTAAGACTGTAGACGATCGCCGTTGAATTTTTGTTTGCCGCACTTTATGTTGAAATTTGTTTAAGTTTTCGGCACTGTTGAAAAAAGTTTTCATTTTCGGCACTGTTGTACTTCGGCAACGTTGTACTGCCCCACTACAACTTAGGCATATTAGACAGTCAGAGTAAACCGGCAGGCTGCACAACAGTTGAAAAAAATGACTAGAAAAACAAAACAAAAAAAAATTAAAAATTTTTGAGTTTTTGATTCTCTAGATGGCGTTAATGAAACTCCAAAAACTAATTATTCTCGAGTAAAACTAAAATTAAGCACACATGACCTATTGTAAACGGCCTAAACTTAGCATAAATAGGCATGCTCGCAAACTTTACTCGCTCGAAATTAGACGAAAATCGAAAACTTCAAACCGATTTTTCTCGAAACTGTGAATTTTTTTGAAAATTTCAAAAAGTTCGAATCACGACTGCAAGGGCTTTAATATGATATATCACTCACCCAGTCCGATGATTATTTGTGGTACCTGTTTTTGCGTGGAAAAAAATCTAAAACACCCGAATACAAAGTTCCTGCACATTTTTCAAATGGTCGGAACAATCATCAAGACCTATATGAGAGTACTCACGGCGTTCATTATTCTTAATAACTTAGTGAATTCAAAAATGACCGGAAATTTGTCCATTTAATCTTTGTTAGAAATTAGTCATTTTAATCTTTGTTTATCATTTGCACTGTTGTTATTGGAGAGCTTAATTTGTCTTCATTTGACCAATCAGTTGACAAGTTTGGTCAAATGAAGTTTCTCAAGTTTCTCATGGAGAAGGTAAAGTTCCCGTTTGCAAAAACCATTTCTCTTAACCGTTTTGATGTAAGAAAACGGATTCTCCTCCAGTGCGCATTAGTCTATTTTTTCAAATTACACTCAATAGCTATTTAATCAGAATTGACAAAAAATTATGAACACTGACTCACCGGATTAATGTATTGATTTGATATGAAATTTGAAGAACATCGATTTGAATTCATTAAAGTAGAGGGTTGGCTGTATACCATCTGGTTCTGAGGTGCGGCGGAACCCGCTAGTATTAATAAAGACGAATTCTGGTAACAGGTATTGCTCTGATTCAAGACTCGAGGCTGATTTTCACTTTTCACCATCCCAAATCTGTGATTGGAATGATTCGCCGATTGGATAACGTTTCCATGTCTTATCATCATTCGCTGATTTGGATTCTGGATGACACTTGGCACTGTTGATCTCATAATTTGGGCTTGGGTACCTCGCTGGAAACTTCCATTTTGCTCTGAGAATCGATTGTTTCCATTTGGGTAACTAAAAGTCTGTAAATTGGTAAGGTTTGAACTTGGTTCTTGAGAACTGTGACCTCGATTGGCAATTAATGTTCCATTTGGTTGGTTCTGGAATCCGTTGGGTCCAGATATCGAAGGTTCCACTGGCTGACACACGAAGACGCTGGCGTTCGGGTAGGAGTGTATGTATCCTCCCGCCGCCATTGAAGTAAAAAGAATGGTTAACGTCTGACAAAACACGTCATAGTAGAGAACTTAACAAAGGATGCGCGAAGAATCGACATTTGTGCAGGACGGCGGCGACAGACGATACCGCATGTTGGAAAAAGTAATAAAAATAGTTCTTTTTTTAGCGTACAAGGCTGCGTGTGAAAAAAAAATAGCTGCAATAAAAATAGCAGGGAATGAGTTTGAAAGATTAAGCTGTGGAAAAATTAACTAAATAGGAGCCGAAATGTCCTTGGACAATTAGTTGAGCAAAGAAATAGGAAATATTGAAAGACAGAAGTTAATGCAACAGCGGGGCTTAAATGATATTTGCTAGCGAAATAACGCAGCTGGTTTTCCTTAAGAGTTATACAATTTCTTTAATAACAACGTAGCTTATTACGCAAAATAGTGGCCATATATGAGCGTTTTACGATTTGTTACGTAAGTCCATGCTGGGTTGTGTGATTTATTACGTAATCTTATTTAATCAAAGCTGATTGCAGGTTGGTCTGTGCAAGACAAACTAGTACGAACAAATAATATTTTCTGATTTTTCAATGTTCCAATCGGTACTATAAAGTAAATATCGAATTGAGAACGTGCAACTTGCAAACATTTGGTTCCAAGTCTTGTTAGCTAAGTGTGCTCTTTGTAGTAAAATTCATGGTCACTACCAATACAATTAGACCAGCTATAGTGGCTAGTCTAGAGCGTCACGTCTGGCGTATATGTACTTCTTACCAACCTTGGCTATTTGTAGTTGGCACTATTTAACTGGACTAGCTAAGTAATATTGTAATAAACTGGCGTGGCGGTGTAATAACCAATAAAATACTTCGCTTTTATTTCAATGAATCCCTTCTTTGTTTTAATTCCCAGTTAGGGTGCAATAGGGACTCAACGTAAGGGACAATGACTCACTTATATTCCTTTTTTTCCCGGGTAGACCACTGAAACAGTATGACATAATGTCAGCTAATAATTGATCAAGCAGTATACCCTAATTAACTACGCATGGGTTGCATTTTGTGTACACTGAATTCCGGGATTTTGGCAACCGACTTAAATCAAATTCAGTTTTTTTGCAGCCGTTTTCGACTGATATGTTATAGCTATAACTGTAACTGATACAACTGTTTTATCTACTAACAAAATATCCAGATGGAAACAAACTTAAATTTCAACAGCAATAGAAAAAGTAGTCAGCAAAAGAGTCCCAGCTTGAAAAATTGATAGCTTTGATCGATACGGACTATAAATTTCTTTTCATACTAAGCTCACAATATTCTATTGGATCACATCTCACATCAAAAACTCAAATCAAAAAAGCAAGTAGCAATACAAAAAAAACAAGCACGTGGAAACTTGAAACTGAAATTCCATCAAAAATAACACAATAGATCACTGACAACATTTAAGGTTATCTAAAAAACTACAAAGTTCAATATTCTCTTTAGTGTGTTACCGATGTTCATAGTCAAAAGACTCGCCTTTTCAAGTTAGTTTGCAGCATGTCAGTTTTCGAATGTCAGCATATTCGTATGGCGGTTCCTCATATTCATTTCAGGAACACTCGAGCATAATAATTTAGAGTGCTCTGAACAAAGTTCGAACAGCTTTCACTGATTCAATGCCATGCTCACAGGCCACATCTGATTTGTTCAGTTTGAAGGGACTTCTCACATTGGCCTTCAAATTTCTAGACCAGCCCGGTTCAGACTCTTTGTCATCATAGGAACTGCATATCCAGCTGCACCAGTAGAAATGTTGCTTTGAAGGGTCGAATGGCTTGTCTTTGAAGTTTGAGGCTCTTGCGCGTCGCTTGCACTTATCACAGCTTATCACACTCTCTGATTTTAGCTTCCAGCCGAACATCGAGAGATCAAGTATGCGATCACAACACGATATGTTGTTTGCTGAAACACATGTTCATAGTCGCAATAATCTCAATATGCACAATATAGCAAATAAAACAAATTGAGTGAATTTTGAAATAAACAAATAATATATCGAACCAACTTTACCTATCAAGCGAGAGAGGATTGAAAAATAGAAGCATACAAAATTTGTCCAACAATTAGTAAAATAATTTTAAAATATTACCAAAATATCTTCTGTGATCCAAGCAGAGCACTTCTTTTTAAGAAAACACTTGAAAACGCATACATTTAATGATGAACTGGTTACTTACTAATATTGCGAATTGATTCCATGAGCACCGATCGCTGCTCATCCATCTCCTCATAATCCGGAACTGAAAAATTACTGACACCAAACAATTCTTCTGCTTTGAATTTCTTGTTACTTTCCGAGCATTCCATCACTTTCTTGGCGTTGCACAGTAGAACACTCTTCACATCTTCAATCTTGTGAGCTAGACTGTTGGGAACGGGGTTGGATGCCCATTTGCAAATGGGATTGTGACCTTTTGACTGGATTGAAATTATGTATTCTTCTTCTGATTTTTCTCCTGACAGGGCTATGATCTCTTCACAACTGAAAAACGTTTCATTTAAGCATGCATTATCCAAGCACAACTTTTTTCAACGACAAAACAACTTTTACCTCAATTTCACAGATGATTTCACTAAAGAAACAAAAAATATATACCTCTGCAATAGATAGCAAAGTCAATTTGAATTTTTTTCCATTTCAAATATTGACTAAGAACCGCAATGTAATATCAATTATTATGCATCAAAATTTGCTAACTAGCTATTTCAAAACATTTTCTTATTCTAGAATCGAAGTGTGCTTAAGTGGTTAGAGCTGCGTGATCTTTTCACCATTTCGAATTTTCATATGCTAACCTTGTGCATTGAATTTGATTGATATCCACACAATGCCAACCATATTGTGCACATACGATAGGAGACATCGAAACTGGCTTAGCGAACCATCTGGCTGTCGTGAACGAAATCAGCCTCTGTTCGAATGCTCTTATAAGAGCAGCCTCGCCACTCGCTCTTCTCGAAGGGGATTTGGACTGAGCTGAACTGTTGTCTTTGACGTCCGATTCAGTATCTGATGACGATGTGAGGTCCTTTAGAATTTGAGAGACCTTGCCTTGAGTCACCATGTTGGCGGGATAATGGGCATTTGAGCTGTTCGGTTGCTACATGATTTACAATCACATTTGCAAAAACTTCTGGAAAAAGTCAAACTCGTTTGCAAGCGAAACTGCACTTCCAGCGAACTATCAACAAGGTTTCATTTGTCGAATCTATGAAAACTTTATTTTCGGTTGACCAAAAAGGCAACTTAACTTAAAAATACACGAATAAATGATGGTTGATCTGACCACTGATAGTGCGAAAGCATTTCGGGTACAAAATGTGGTCCCTCGAGAATTGTCATATTGGGTTGCGCGATGTTTTTTAGATCTTGGCATTCGATTACAACAATAGGTCCCTTGAAAATTCCTCGAAAATGACCTGTACTAGCGGGTAACTTGCACATCCGGTGCTTCAAACAGATTGATGAACGTGAGAATAGCAAGAAAATATACGAAAAAACTAAAAGCAAACAAGAATGAACGGGGAGATCTCAAAACGCTTTCTGTTTCATAAAATGAACGATTTAAAAGAGAATCAACTATAATTAATGTTCCTTTTCATTTGAAAAATGACATACTTTTTCAAAAAACGATCTTGGTTCATTGAAACTTTTTGAAATAATGATAGCGTGTTTCCGTAACGAAAAACTTTGAGCAGTCGTAATTGGAGGCCAGATATACAACGCCTAGAGTACCATCGCAGCACTACAATTCAAACGTTGAAATTTTGAAAACCTTTGAAAAAAACACGTCGAAACACGGCCGCATCTGCAGCCACTGTAAAAAATACAAATCTCGGAAACAAATGGGATTTGAGCTATCATAATTGGATAGAGGCCATATCTACAACTGCTGTTAGTACATTGACATCACTATTTTTTGATATTTAATTTTTGAAAATACACAAAACGTCACAACTCGAAAAAGAAAAGGCGTTGATCAGTCATATTAGGAGGCCAGATACAAACCTTCAGAGAGTTCTTTGACAGTACCCCACCAAAATGATGAATTTCAAAATTCAAGAAAAAATTTTTCAAATCGAAGTTTTTGGAAAACTATTGAAAAATCCTGAAACGACATGCAAAAAAACTTGTGTTGCTTGCAAAGCAATTTACTATCCATGTTGCAAATTGCAAATACAATTCAAACAAGGATAGCTGGTTGCAGTGCAAGCAGCACAGAATGTTCCGACCATATTCATAAAAACTACAAATAGAAGTTCTTCAAATTAGTGTCGTTTTTTAGTTCGTGACGTGGATAAAACTACACGCACGCCCTAAAAGTTAGTAACTTAGGCATTAACGATAACAATCATTTTCAAAAAAAGAATGACAAACAAAAAAAGGAAAACACTTAAAAAAAACATTCAAACAAGGACAAATCTCGGAAACAAATGGGATTTGAGCTATCATAATTGGATAGAGGCCATATCTACAACTGCTGTTAGTACATTGACATCACTATTTTTTGATATTTAATTTTTGAAAATACACAAAACGTCACAACTCGAAAAAGAAAAGGCGTTGATCAGTCATATTAGGAGGCCAGATACAAACCTTCAGAGAGTTCTTTGACAGTACCCCACCAAAATGATGAATTTCAAAATTCAAGAAAAAATTTTTCAAATCGAAGTTTTTGGAAAACTATTGAAAAATCCTGAAACGACATGCAAAAAAACTTGTGTTGCTTGCAAAGCAATTTACTATCCATGTTGCAAATTGCAAATACAATTCAAACAAGGATAGCTGGTTGCAGTGCAAGCAGCACAGAATGTTCCGACCATATTCATAAAAACTACAAATAGAAGTTCTTCAAATTAGTGTCGTTTTTTAGTTCGTGACGTGGATAAAACTACACGCACGCCCTAAAAGTTAGTAAATTAGGCATTATCGATAACAATCATTTTCAAAAAAAGAATGACAAACAAAAAAAGGAAAACACTTAAAAAAAAACATTTCTTTTTTTGAACAAAGATTTATAAAATTCAAAAAAAAAAAACAATTCTTGCTTGGCAAGTGTCAAATATATCTTTCAAAAATTGTTTCCACTTGGAAAAAATTTTTTTTTCAGCCTAAATGACCCATTTAGCAAGTTATCATCACTTTATTTGGTCGAACTTAGACGAAAAACCAAAAACTTTAAGCCGTTTTTTTCAAAACTGAATATATATCACTCAGCTCAGTCCGATAATTATTATGGTTCCTGGCATTGCGTAGAAAAAAAAAATTAAACACACCCGAATACAAAGTTTCTTCCCATTTTCGATGGTCGAACAAAAACGGTAAAAAGTACCTCTAAAAGTTAACAAAGTTTAATGAGCCAGCAGTTGTAAAACTCAAAAATAAGAAAACAATGATTATTATTTTTCGAAAATTTTCATTTCTGGAACTTGAAGAATTATATCACCTAGAATTTCGAGAATATTTTTTCACTCACCTTTTTTGATAAAAACTGATCAAAATTGAGAAAACTCGACCAATAGGTTTTTTGGCTCTTTTCCAGTTGCCCCCTTTAATTTTTCTAAAATTCAATATACGAAAGTCTATTTTAAATTAATTTTTTCTGTTGAAAACTGCATTAAAGCGTGTCAGCGTGAACAAATTTCTACAACATTTCTTTTGAATTGAATTTGACTTGATAAATATTTAAAAGAAATCAAAAAACCGCAGAAAAATCAGCAAGACATATAAAAGTGTCTTCACTACATTATATAGAAATTCCTGAGATGTAACTTTATCATCAGATGGCTCTAAGTCACGCCAACAAAGAAGCTTCGATGAAATATGTCAAACACTGGAGCATAGAAACAAAGCCAACAAAAGACAGTTGAAAATTGTTTAGTAAAATAAAAAAAAACTCGTAGTTTTGTAGTCTCTTCATCTTTAGAATTTCATAGAAAAAATACCATCACCTTTGAACTGGCCTTAGGTATGCTTTCAACAGTTTCAATGCCCAAGAACTGGTCCTTACCTTTTGGTTAAATAATATTTCTATCTTGGCTCAAACAATTCACCCTGCATTTTTCTGTGTCCTATAATATTGCTCAACTTCATTTTGGTAAGAAAAAATACCTTCGATGTTTGAAATTACATTAGAGCAATCAAAACTAAACGATTCGAACCTCAGCAAGCAAACATCATAAATTGCGGGATACAAAATTACAAAACTACATCTTCAGGTGCAACAGGCAATGTATTCATTAAAATAAAAGATTGATAAATAATACATCATTAATTTATAGGCTTCCGATATACATAGAAATTGCCACTGATTTTTGAAACAGATTATGAATCACACCGGGAATAGAATTGAATGAATGACTAATCGAGATACCGATCATCGAGAATCATCACTCTAATGTCTGCAGAAACTGCAGCTGTTTTAGGACTTTTCCTTGACTAGTTTCCCTCATCTCGCCACACAGGAACATCTCATCGACTACTACGTATACTTTGTAGAAATTAAATACCAGATCCAGTTCACAGACGTTATGGAAATACTCGTTGAGAACTTCGACGAAGTTATGAATGGCCTCCAAATATGCCAAACTGTTGTCGTAAATGTCTATGCAGATACAGAAGTAGAGTCCGGCGTAGCGTCTGTAGACGACTTTGAAGTTTCGGAATTCGACGAAGTTCGTGTGTTTGGCGTCACGGACAGTGACCAGAGCATGCACTTCTTCGATTAGTTTCTGTTTCTCGTCGTCTTCGAACGGCATGTACCACTTTGCGAGCCGCGTTTTTCCTGCTCTGTTCTGGATTAGGATGAAGCGAATCATTTCTAAACTGAAAAATTACAGAGTTCAAATTTGATTGCTTTGCACGGCTATTTCTTTTAATCACAAGTCTGTTTTTTGACATTTGCTAGTTTGTTTGAGGACAATATTCTGTTTTTTACCACAGAGGCGAAGCTAGGGTAAACACAGAGGCGAAGCAAAGCTTGGTATCACCTGCAATACAACGCAAGCTCAGCATTGCAAACTAGCGAATAGAAAATGAGACGGAAAAAATAGGCACCAGAATTAAATAGGCTTTTAGTCTTGGCCGAGCGGCCACTAAGCCGACAACAAGTGGGTAGACGCCCATTAAGCCGAAAACAAAACAAGTCATAAATTGTTGTCATAAAAATTTTTGAAAATTTAATTGAAGTTTTGATTACCTGAACACAAACAACCTAAATTTTCAAAAATCAAATCAATCATTTTTGACTTTGAAGCGACACAAAAAAGTAACTAAGCCGATAAAACATTAGCCGAAACCATTTAGACCAACTAAAATTTTATACCAAAAAAAACTAAGGAAAAATTACGTCACGGCTATTAATTTTACAAATTACAGGAGTTAATAAAAAAACTGGGCTCTGCTATGAAAATGCTGACAATAAAAATAATTCTCGACCTGGCAACTAAGCCGACAAAGATAAGTAGACAAACAATAGTACGACACTTCAAATTTTACCCAAAAAAACAATAATTTTCTATTTCATACATACTGAAAAAAATGTCCGGCCAGGACTCGAGCTCCAGACCTCAGGGTACAACAGCAATCTCCAAATGAGAATTCTCGAAGGAGCTAAGGTTCACTCAACTTAGCCAACTGACAGTTCGAAAAGAGTAATGGGTGCAAAAGAACAAAAAACTGACTTGTTTTTTAAACATCTCAGCCTTCGAACTTCGAAGAAAAAAATAGATGACGTTAAACCTGTTTGAATTTCCAAATTAATTTAAAATTGAGGATATTAACCCAATTTGAGAAAACTGGATCAATACGTAAGGATTTTTTTCGCTGGGAAATCTGATAATTAAATTCCACTTTTGAAATTAGAAGTCGATCCCGTTTTTGTGACCTTTACACTTCTGCAGTTCGATAGTGGAGTTTGCCTTTCTTTTATCAATGGAAATGAAATAAAGTCTAGTTCCCGATTACAAGACCATTGCTCTCGCTAGAGTGATTAATAAAACAAATCAATACGTTAATTGCAATTCAGATTAAAAGGTACAAAATTAGATAGTAAAAAATCAGTGTTATCACAAAAGCTCAAAACCACAAACTATATCGCCTAGACAATACATTGAAATATTCGTCAATTTCAAACATTGTGTCAGTCATAGTTTTCAAAAAATATCACTAAGTTATCAGAACTTCGAGTCTCTTCAAAGCAATATATCTCCGCGAATGTTCACCAATCATCGGCAGGGTTGCCAAATCTGTTCATAACTTTTTCCTGACCACTCAAATCGAGTCTCACTTTCTGTCTCATATAAAAGATAGGACAATCCCGATTAGTGCACAACACTTTCTCGTGCAGAGAACCCTGGCATCTTTGGCACTGGGTCCACAGCCTAGCAAACTTCTCCTGGATACTGTTGAGTTTCAGAATTTCTCTCTGGTACAGTTCGCTTTCTTTCGGTTTACAGTGTTTGCACACGACCATTGATTCATCCGGTAGAACAGCCTGAAATAATCATATCTGCCCACAATTTTTAGTCCTATAATTTCGAAACAACTTCTACTTGACGGAATGGAATGATCTCGGTAAAAATAACTTGTAATCGGTGCTTGGATCTCGATGTGTTGATATTATCCATGCAAATTATATAATGGAAGAGAACGTACCTTGCATGACAGACAAGTAGCCTTCTTGGTCACAAACCCGGCCAGTCCACTCACTTTAGAAGTAGCCACACTCTTCACTCGTGTATGCTCCCCGTGAAGCAGCACTGACTCCGCCTTCGACTCTCCGAACACTGGCTCAAATATCCGGATTAGTGGCTTGGACAACTGTTGGTCCAGGTAGTACTTGGTGTCTATTGGAAGCCCGTTTTCCAACACGTACATGGGATCTTCAGCCTTCATGTAAACGGGCTCATTTCTACTACCTGTAACAAATGTTTACAATAATCTCACCTGACTAAATAAATTCTAATTTTGTAGCACGCTATCAAACAGTACAAAGAGTGGTTTGTAAATTCGAAGAAAGGAGAGTTCAAGGAAATCGACAAGGTAAGTGAGAAAGATAAGATCGAATAGCTTTTGATGATTTCGAAAGAATGTAAGGCTTGGTGAGATTACATAGCTAGACACGTTTGCTACTTTGCAACTTACTTTTACCTAAAGAAAATAAAATTATCCTCATCATCGTCATATTCAACTTTTGGAGTATCAGCAAACTGGAGTAAGTTCTTAAGATCGTCAAAACATGAAATAAAAAGGGATTCTATACAAAAATAAAAGGGATTCTATACAAAAATAAAAGGGATTCTATACTTAACTAATTCACTACTATACTTAGCAATAATTAACTAACCAGTAGTGATGACATATGGGATTCTGTCGCCCAAACTAGGCGCAGATCCCGGGTCTCGCTTTTTCAACTTCTTCGCCAACTCCACATGAGGCACCTTACTCTTATACTCTTCGTCTGACTGAGTCAACTCTTTCGTGATGATGAGCTGTGAAAGGTCAACCCTATTACATAAGAGGTCACTGATGGTCTGCTTGACCACATTAGTGGCTCCGTCTGGATCCCTTTCGATCAGAAGTTTCTGCAAGACCACATTAAGAAGATTGGACACAAGAGGACAATTGTCTCTTCTTACTGTCTCGATTCCTAAAAAGACGTTCAAGATCTCGAATGATGCGACAACTAAAAAACATGAATCTCCAAGAATCTCACATGCCAAAATCAAAATCTTCTGCAGAAGCAAACTCAATTTATTATCTTAATAGAAAGCAACTGATGATGTAATGCAAGATGTAAAAGATTTACCTTTGCAGTCCATTTTATCATGGACCTCGGGGCGGGTAAAGTATAGTCCAGCGTACCGCTTCTTGTTGATCAGCAAATAGGGTCTGTATACTTTCTCGAATTCCAGTCTGAAAAAATCTTAAGCCTGAACCTGCATCTAAATCAGGGGCGGATCTAGGATTTTCTCGGTGAGGGGGTTTCAAAAAATTGTTCGAAAACTTCGTCGACCTTTTTTTAGGTCGACCAAAATGAATTTCGAGCTCTCCAAAAGCACCAAAAAGACCTTTTTGGCCCATATTTCTGCATCAGAGGCGCCTTTCAAAAAATTTGAGGGTCCGTCAGCCACAAACGGATAAAGGGGGTCGAATTTATGCGGACAGGGGGGTGGGGGGCTAAATCTGCCCCTGATCGAAATGGAATTTCTAGTTCAATTGAAAGTTACTTGATAGGGTTGATGAACTGTTTCGAGACAAACTCCGCGGCCTCTCTGCCCAGGTCCATGGCTTCTGCGATAGAGTCCACTCCGAATTTGACCATGACCGAATCCGTGTCTCCGTATATTACGTGAGCATTGTGCTTGTAGCTACACAAAAGACTATGGTTACTTGAAAAAAAAAATTCGAAAACAATTTCCTTTCTAAGATCACATGCTTTCTTGATATGGCCATTTATTTAAAACAAGACTTCTTTGAATATCTGCAATATGCTGTGATTCCATATGTACAGTTTAACCAAAACATACTTTATCAATTTTGGCTGCAAAAACGTCTACAGTACGAAGTACTGTGGAGCCGGAGAGCCAGTAATTAAAACTATTCTTAAATAATATCATATGGTTAAACAATAATCAGGTCTTAAAACTTTATTTAATCTTCCGCAAGATTCAGTGATTGAACACCTTGGCAATGCTTAATGCTCTAATCATTTTTGGCTACAAAAACGCCTATAGCACAAAGTGCTATGGAGCTGGAGAGCCAGTGATTCAAGTTATTATTGAAAAAATCATCTTGGAGTTTGAACAATAATCAGGTCTAAAAACTTTATTTGAGCTTCCGCAAGATTCAGTGATTGAACACCTTGGCAATGCTTAATGCTCTTATCATTATTGGCTACAAAAACGCCTATAGCACAAAGTGCTATGGAGCTGGAGAGCCAGTGATTCAAGTTATTATTGAAAAAATCATCTTGGAGTTAGAACAATAATCACGTCTAAAAACTTTATTTCAACTTCCGCAAGATTCAGTGATTGAACACCTTGGCAATGCCTAATGCTCTTATCATTATTGGCTACAAAAACGCCTATAGCACAAAGTGCTATGGAGCTGGAGAGCCAGTGATTCAAGTTATTATTGAAAAAATAATCTTGGAGTTTGAACAATAATCAGGTCTAAAAACTTTATTTGAGCTTCCGCAAGATTCAGTGATTGAACACCTTGGCAATGCTTAATGCTCTTATCAATATTGGCTACAAAAACGCCTATAGCACAAAGTGCTATGGAGCTGGAGAGCCAGTGATTCAAGTTATTATTGAAAAAATCATCTTGGAGTTTGAACAAAAATCAGGTCTAGAAACTTTATTTGAACTTCCGCAAGATTCAGTGATTGAACACCTTGGCAAAGCTTAATTCTCTAATTAATATTGGCTGAAAAAAACGCCAATAGCACAAAGTGCTATGGAGCTGGAGAGCCAGTGTTTCAAGTTATAATAGAAAATATCATCTTGGAGTTTGAACAATAATCAGGTCTAAAAACTTTATTTTAACTTCCGCAAGATTCAGTGATTGAAAACCTTGCCAATGCTTAATGCTCTTATCATTATTGGCTTCAAAAACGCCTATAGCACAAAGTGCTATGGAGCTGGAGAGCCAGTGATTCAAGTTATTATTGAAAAAATCATCTTGGAGTTTGAACAATAATCAGGTCTAAAAACTTTATTTGAACTTCCGCAAGATTCAGTGATTGAACACCTTGGCAAGGCTTAATTCTCTAATCAATAATGGCTGAAAAAACGCCTATAGCACAAAGTGCTATGGAGCTGGAG